ATAATAATAATAATAATAATAATAATAATAATAATAATAATAATAATAATAATAGTAATAATAACAAACCAGATGCTACATAGAATGATCACCTAAACAACTCCAAAGGGATTTTGAGATTCTTGATATAACTTAACCGAAGTTGCAAAACTTGAAAAAATAAGATTAGAAGAGACAATCACTATAAATCCAATTGTTAATAAGTTCCATAAACACTTAAAATAGAAAAGAAAAGTTATTAGACCTGAGATAAATCTGGGGATGTGATATTTATTCTGTATATATAAACAGCAGATGCCTTCCTCAATTTACTCCTTTGCGGAAGTGATTATCGCCAAAGTTTTTTTTCCAGTGAACAGCTATTTATTATTCAAGTTTTAGGTAATCTGGATAACCAGACCAAATAAAATAACCAATAATAGTTCTCTATTGAAAGACCATGCAATGCTAACTAAAAAATTCGAAATCTGAGTTTGTGTGCTTGTGAAATAACAAAACATTGAAGTTCAGGAAGCTTATCACCAAAGGTATTTATGCATTAAAATTTTTTAAATGCAATACTGTTAAGTAGATAAAATAATAAGAAAAAATGTGGCAAAATTTGGATTTATTATGGACTGGATTGAGTGGACAGTTTATCACGTTAATACTATTAAAAGGGAAGAAGTTCTAAAAATCTATTTATACAAATTGTTTGGACCTATTCATTATTTTGGACATGTCCTTATTTTTCTCTAACTATACAATATTTGAATGAAATCATTAATTACTTCTCATTGTTTAGGAAACTGAATATAAAATCATATTTATGATTACAAAATTAGACTATGAATTCGGTAATGGATCTTTTTTTATCAAATTAACTTTCTGTAGAATATTTTCTCGTATTCTTTGAAAATAAAAAATTCACAAATAAATATTGCATTTTATTATAGTACTACATAATAATATAAATGTCATTATTTAATTCTATGTAGTTGTATAAAACATAGGTTTCTTAGACAACCTTCATCATAACATATATATTTATATAAGTTTGTAGACAAGTGTTTGAGTACGATTTATAACATCTGAAATATTTTTTTTATACAAACTTAAATCAGTATTTTTTTTTTGAACAAAACTTACATCAGTATATAACCATTATTTTTTACATATAAATTCAGTAATATTCTAAAAGAATGCATTATTAATAAGTACTAACCTATTTTACCGGCTACAAACTCATATCATGCAAACCCAATTATTACTAATGAAAATTGATGATTAAATTTAAATAATGTATATACAGTGTATATATAATCTTAACTGACTTTTATAGAATGTATATATAATCTTACTAGAATTTCAAAATATCATATATTTATATCAAACCAAATATTTCATATAAAAGAGCTAATTAAATATAAATTTTAAACACTTAAGTAAATAAAAAATCATAAGTTTAAAAATATATTAGAAATTTCATTCATCTTTTAAAATATTGAAGATTTTTTTGTTTTTTTACCAGGTCAATCAAATGTCGGATCACACTTGATTGCCTATTTCTTCGAAGTTTGCATACTTTAAATTAACGAGTTTCCATTAAATCTAAACCAGTTTATGTACAAATCGTCGTGTTACTGGCTTGATCACAGATCCGAACTTGATATAAAAATATTGTTCTCATCTAATTGAAAATAATTAATTTTATAATAATAGACATGCTGAGTCTGATCAAACCATATAATGTTTACAAAAATAATAATAATCAAAGAATTAAAGTATAATTACATTAACTAATAAAATAAAAGTAAAAAAAATTATATAATAAATTTTGTAACATAATAATGTAACAAGACTAAAATTTAAATTCATATCATATGGTTTTATCAATCAAAAAATAACATGTGCTTTTAAGCGCGGATCAATCTAGTTAAATTGTAAAGCCAAATTGGTGTTATCCTAGGCTATTATAAAGGTTCATGAAAGCTTCCAAGTGAAGAAAATTGAATCGAAATAGTGGACGCTTCCGTGGTTTTGTTGACCTCTATAGAGCACTGAGATACTTATGGTTAAAAATACAAATTTTCCATTAGCAACAGCTAAAACACACAACCTTAACTTGAGCACAAAGTAGCCATTCCATTTCTCGTTCAAAATACAAAAAAAATGTAACTTACAAAATCATCCGATTATAAACCTAGGATTTGTAAACGGGATTCACTAATATTGTTTTGTTATTTAGTTAAATAATAATAATAATATTGTTTTGTTATCATGTTCAGTTAGAGACTTAGAGTACAAGCAACAAAGAGCTATTCAAAAAGAGGAAAAACAAAACGTTAGTGGTAGGCTTTAAGAGCATCTCCAATCCATTCTATTTTGTATTCCATGATAGAGTAAACTAAAATTTGGAATATGAAATGCTCCAATTTCACTCTATTTTTTATTTCATATTTAAGTAAAAGGTGGGGTTACTCTATTAGATTTATTCTATAAATGAAATAATGTATATTTTGTTTGTTTATTACTCTACTTTTTATTTCAAAATGGAGTAAGATCAAAGTAAAAGTCAACTCTATTGTGAAGTTATTCAATTTGGGGGAAAAACATTGAGTTTTGCATTGGAGATGTTCTAAAGTACTAAAATCATTTACTGATTATCCTCCAAACCGGTTAAAGGTAGGACTTGAAAAAATATCCATAAAATTTGATTTGATTCGTTATCCGTTTCGATTTGGACCAAAAAATCCAGATATCCATAACTCTTTAAAGCAAAGCAAATACAAGCTATATAAATATTATATTTTATAAATTTTCACAGTATATTTATTTATTAAATTTATTTTATTAGTTACTAAAATTTTTAAAATTAACTATTTTTTTAAATAAAATATTATTATTTATATTATTTTATTTTCTTTTATTTCTTTCAAAAACTTATTTTATTGAATTGGATATCTGGTTAACAATTTATTTTTTTGGATATCCGGGTGGCTACCGGTCAAATCGGATAAATGATTATTCGGATGAAACAGATCGGATCATGAATACCTCCAAAAATCTAGATTTTTGATTTGTGCCCACCCTTAATTACAAGACTAAGAACCCTAACTCCTAAACACTCATTGATAGGTTTGGGTGTTCAGGGTACCCGTTCGGGGTTCGGATCTGGTATTTCTTCATATTTTCTGGTACTTTGGTATAGGGGCTAAAACCTGTACGAGTATTTTTACATATTGGGTCAAGTTTGGGTATTTTTAGTTTGGTTCGGGTTCGGATATTTTAGATTTTGAAACAAAATTCTTCATTACTCAAGTTTCTTATACTTAAATTTTAGAATTAAATTAGCTGATTTTTAAAAATTCCAATAGGTTGAACCATTAATATATTTAGAAACAAAATTTTGAAAATAATTGTTTTTAGAATTTGAATGCAAGTTTTGTTAATGCACGAAACAAGAAGCTTGACATGAATTCTAAGTGAATAACAAATTACTTTGTCCTCAAACATATGTATATTATATGATTTCGAGCCATGTACAACATCAATATAGTTAATTTGAGTAAAATAAGACAAGTAAGTTAGATATATAAGATTAAGAAATATATATTTGTTTGTTTTCGGATATCTATTCGGGTTACTCGGGGTCGGATATTCTTTCTTTCCTAATTTAGTACTCCTTTGGTTATTGTGTTATTTCAGTTCAGATTTTGATTTGATTTTTGTGGATAGGTTTGGATTCGAATCCGGATATCAGGTAAAATACCTAGCTTACTCCTTGATCAGAGACACAACTTTATGACGCATATGGCTAGACAAATAAACCAAACCCGAAAATCCAAACCAAACATGACCTGATAAAAATGAATCCAAACCGATACGAATCCGACACAAATACCGAATGGATCTCGTTTTATGGTATTTTGGGTTACGGGTATTATCCAAATCAAACCCAAACCTAAACAGATATCTGATAGAACCCAAAATATTCAAAATCTTAAAAAAAGGAACTTGTACCAAACATGATTTCAATTCCTAATATATATCCAAAATATTTTAAGATATTATTAAACATCTAAAATAATTATTTTTTTACATGAAAGTTGATGGTTCTAGGTAGTGGAAGCGAAGTTTTTAGATTTTGGCTTTATTTTCACTGAATAATGTTTTTCCTTTCATGAGAATTTGGTTTTCCTTTTATGTCTTCATATATTTAGTTTTCTTTCTATTAGTAATTATTTTTACCTTTTATTTGATTTTGAATGATCATGTTTGATATTTTTTGAATCAATTTTACTTATGTTTTGGTTCTAAAATAGGTATAAATCATGTACTTTAAATTCAAAGAATCGATTTTACTTATGCTTTGGTTACAAAATAAGTACGAATCAGGTATTTTTAAACCAAAGAACCGATTGGGACCTGAAACCGAAAATACAATGGGTTATATCGACTTTTTGAAAATTTACTAACCCCGACGTGAACCATATAGAACCCTCAGACCAATCCCGAACTAAACTTTCATATAACCCGAATGGAGTTCATTTTGAAAAACCTCGAAAAACTGAAACTCGATTGGACCAAACCGAAACTTCGAACTCCCAGGCCGCACTTCACCAAAATGCACCTAAAGTTCTACCGTACACGTGTCACGTCATTATATAACTTCATTTGGTATGGACCGATAATATATTGGGTTAATACGGCCCATTAAATATTTTATATTTCTTTCCAGTAAAGCGAGGGCCCACGTAGCAACGGTCCAATTTCAAAGCCTAATGTGTGGGGTCATCAGATTCAGAGACTCAGACATTGTAACGGTCATTTTCCTTTTTCCCCCTCAAAATAAATATTTTAATAAAAATGGAAAATTAAAGCGAAAAGTAAATCGAGAAAAGAATAAATAAAAGATAACCTAAACCCACCCCAAATCAATGTCGACTCTTTAATCTTGGATCAAGAATTTGTGAAAGCTCCTCGAAGGAACTCTATCTTCTACTCTCACTCTCGAAGGAATGGGTTGCTTTCCAGGTTGCTTCGGTGGCCGGAAGAATCGACGGCGTCAGAGACGCAGGGAGGAGCCTCGTTTAAACGTTAGTTCTTTTTTTTAGCTCTTCAGTTAAAGCTAGCTGATTTTTTTATTTAATATCTAGCTAAAGTTTCAACTTCAGTTTGAGCTGGGTTTTGTCTGAATCTAAAGTAATCTGTTTTTTTTTCTTTAATATCTAGCTAAAGTTTCAACTTCAGTTTGTGTTGGGTTTTGTCTGAATCTAAAGTAATCTTTTTTTTTCTTTGTTTTGTAGAAAATCTCTGAGTGTTCTACAAAAGAAGTTCATCTGAAGCTTAGTGTTCCTATTGTTGAGGAAGTCCAAAAGTCTGCAAAGGATGTTAATGTTTCTAAAATTTCTGAGGGGTCTGCAAAGGGTAATGATCATCAGATTGTTAGGGTCCCTGCTGCTGTTGAGGAAGTCACTAAGGTTTCTGTCATTCCGACCACTGACATCTGGTTAGTTTTGTTCTGTCCTTTTATAAAAACTGTTGATTCTTTTTTCTTGTACCTTTTTCTTTTTGGAACACTTCTGTTCTTGTAGCTACTATCATGTTTTTTTTAGCTTAAACAGATTTGATTTACTGATTTTTATTTTTAATTGCAGTGACAAGGAAGCTGAGGAGAGAAACAGTCCGAGTCCAACTCGTAAAAGAGTGACTTTTGACTCCAAGGTCAAAACATATGAACACATTGCAGTTGATGAATCCGTTGAACTCTTAGAAGAGGAGGAGAAGAAGAAAGAAGAGGTGAAGCTTTTGAAGTCGAGTCAGGCACCATGTTCATCTGAGGGAAGCGATGTTACTTCCAACTCGTCAAGTTCTTTTCCTTCAAACCATAGATACCAGAATTGCAGAGAGAGTGACGATGAGGAAGAGGAGGATGCTGTAACAGATTGTGATGAAAGTGATCTAGAGGATGATGATGATGATGATGGTGGTCTGCTTGATGATGACTATTATGATGATAATTATGATGATAAGCGTCCCAACTACTGGGACAACAACAATGTCTACACGGAGGAAATTGCGGATAATGTTTTGAATAAAGACAAGTCTAACACGAGTGCTAGAGACAGAACCGGATATGTCAACGCCGTACTGAACCCGATCGAGAATCTTAGCCAATGGAAAGCTGTGAAATCCAAAGGAAGAACTATGCAGACAGAGTCTCGAAAGGAGAACACCACTCTCATCTCCGATCAAGAACACAAACTAAATGCATCCTTCAACTTAGAGGAGCCTCGTGTTGATGAGGAGTTACTACCATCATTCAGCATTAAGCAGAAATCAAGAGATGAAATCAAGAAACAGAGATCTCAAGAAGTACCAGCTGTTGACGCTAGTCTCTCAACATGGTTATCTACATCGCAGACCACGAACAGCGGATGCAGCAGCGTCTCTATGGGTGTTAAGACCGTGATGTCCGAGAAGAAGTACTGCTCGAAACCGGTTCAAAGCTACGATGAGAGACCTATACTGGGGGCGTTAACTTCAGAGGAGATAAAACAGTTCTCAGCAACGAACTCTCCAAGGAAATCTCCAAGTAGAAGCCCTGAATCACCTATTATCGGAACAGTCGGTGGTTACTGGAACAATCACTCAATGGCCACTAGGAAGTAGCGAGAAGTATGAAGTCCAAGCTCTTATGTCTCACGTTCCACACATGTTTGGTTACTGAGTGAAATATAATTTATTTAAGATTAATTGGCTTTTGTGTGTCTTGTGTGTGTTTGTTTATGTGTTTGTTGCCTATGTGGTGTGATTTTATTATGCACTGAGTGAAATATCATTTTATTTAAAGATTAATTGGCTTTGTGTTGTCTTGTGTGTTTGTGTGTAATAAACCAAATCGTGTGTGTTTTGTTGTCTATCTGGTGTGGTTTTATTATGCACTAGGACCGGGCCGGCGCGTAGATTTTAGTGTAGTGTTTGAATTGAATTTGATGAATATATTTTTTGATTTGGTGAAGCTTGTATAGTTTTTTTTTTTTTTTAATTGTAGGCTCATATAATAGCCGGAGTGTTGTATTTTGGTTTTTGTTAGTTTTGATTTTTGTTACATTTACTCGTTTGTTTAAATCTTCCCCCACTGGAAATTGGTTTTTAGTATCTTTTACCAAGTCCTCTTATATGGGATTTTTTATTTGTAATTGTCTGAAGTAGTAACAATGTTTGCATAATTTAACCATATTATCGGGATCGCACCTTCTTTTGTGCTTCATCTGTATCATATTTCCATAATACCGCTTCTTCATTTGGACAGGGGTTTGACTAAGTGAATTTTTAATAATTTTTTTTGCGTACTAATAAGATGAGTATCATTTTTTTTTTTTTGAATTTTTTTTGCTAGTTTGTTATAAACTGCTAGATAACTTATGTTTTAGATTGTCCGACTAAATAAGAATCCTAAACCATGGGTTTGCATATTTTGTAGTTTTTATAATCTTTGGGACAGCAGGTGAGAAGTATATTATCAAGTAGAATCAGACATATCTAACGCTAAATCTACGTATTCGAGGGACACATAAGAAATCTAAATAAGTCTAAGGATACGTGCTTTGTTTATTAAATTTAAAAATTGACCAGATCGGTGTCTCTCTTTATTAAAGGGAAAATAAAACAATGACGAATTTCACTATCCTCTCTTAGCTATGTATTTGACAAATTTGTCAACCCGTAAATAGTAGTAACAATTGTTGCATAAATGACGTTCACCCTGGAGCTTGCAACTTTTCGGAGGCTTGAGTTTGGTCATGGTCTTCACATACACATCCTCCATCGGGATTGGATATGTACGGAGTGTTTTTTTAATCTTGATCCAGCAACGGGTGGACTTAGGCAATGTGTTTTTCCAATCCAGACTATCTAAGACCCTCTTTCCCTCTTTGATTTTTCCATTACAGAGAAGTAACAAACCACAAAGATACGTATCCTTGTTGTAGTTTCCAGTTGCAGAACTACGAAGGTGGTTGAGTGCTTCAAAGGTTTTCTCGTGAATGAAGTACGAAGGTGATTTGTAGGTCCTCCTCTCTTATCCTTGCGTATAACTTCAGCTGGATTCTTCACCATTGTTTGTGTGAAACGTGTTTGATTTTTTAAATAAAGCTTTCTGAGGTTGCAACAGAGTTCTTTAGAGGGAGTATGTGGAGCGTTGCGTCTGTAATGTCTGCCTTTATCTGCTTATCTATTTCAGAACATGGGAGTTGTATAGGCAGCCATCATCGGTTACGTTAATATTTACGTATGAGAATGAGGATGTATGATAGTAAGACGTTACATGTGTTGAACATGAATGCTTACTTAATGGGGGAGATGTGTGTTTGTGTTGGGTGGGTAATGATGTTGACATATTAAACGTGGCAGAGTGTATTAACTTGTTCCTTGTCCTGCAAGAATATGTTTTGCATTTGTGTGAGTTGTTGTTTTGTACGTTGTTGAAATTTGAACAATCTTTAAACAATAATTATTTGTCGTATAAAACCAATGTTAGTGTAGTATATTTATATATATAAGTTTGTAGTTTAGATTTTATTTTAATCCACTTAAAGCAAAATAAACACCGCTTCATAATTAGATCTTATAATTGTCTTGCATGTACAAAAGGTCAAAAAAAAGTATCTCAGGTTTGCAGGAAATTATTGTCCAAAAAATTACGGTTTCCCTAAGAGGAATGTGGTTGAGTAATAGGAATGTAGTGGTACAGACACTTGACGTGTCTTCGACATAGTATAAGGCAAAAGAGAGAGGCAAGAAATTTGAGGTACAGGAGCAGACTACAAACTGATACCATTTATGAATGGATTGTCATTTCTTTTATAGTTACTCTGCAGAAGAAATTCATATGAGAACGTGAATGGAAACAGCAACCACCACAAGAGTCTTGAAAAAGGAAATAAAGCATTGAAAAAAACATAAGTCTTAAAACCTAAAAGCAGTAGTTCGAAAATGAAGTGGTTGGTTGTTTAAGTGCCCATAGCTGACTCAGTCAACTCGTGCTTTCTTCCTTCCCTTCTCACCAGTAGCATCTTCATTTTGGGTTGATGCCGAGGTCCCAACAATTGTGGTGTCAGAGGAAACTGAGTCAACAACATTAGTTTCTGTTCCTATAGCCACAGTCGAGGGCTGGTACTCTTGAGTGACATTCGGACCTCCCTAATAACAATGCAACAGCCAAATATATTAGATAATGCAACCACGTAAAATTGAAAGGAATGATGTTGGGTAAGAAACAAACATTATCGACAAAAGTGGGATTTGGTGCAGACGCACGCTCAGGGAAGATGCGAGAGATTGTGAAAGTCTGGTGCTTTGATGTGAAATTGAAATCATTCTATTTGAGCTGGAACGTGTACGTTTTTCCTACGATATCAGAGAGGGACCGCGGAAAATCGGAGTCAACCCTAGCATCAACACCAATTCCCTGATTACAGAGAAAACATATTCAACATGTATCCATAATAAAGATGAAATTATTATCCTGTGATTCAGTAAATGTCTTACCACAATCTGTGCAGCCTCTGAGGCTTGGATGTTAGTGAGTTTAGCCATCTCCATATCAAAACCGAGGAAGGATGCAGAGTCAGTGTTTCGCCATCGCGTGATTCGTCTGACTGTTCTGTTCTTCGTGAGCGTTTGGAATAAGATGAAAAACTCCGGATACATGGTTATTTATACTCGACCTACACACACTTTATTTGGGAGTGGAAGAGAGGCAATAATGGGCGTAACCGTGGTCAAGGCTCATAAGGTGGGAGTAAAGAAGAGTTTAATGGGAGAAGAGAACGGTTACGAAAATCCCGATTTGCCTCCGACGGCGCTGCAGACGAGGAAGAGGAGCACCTGGAAGAAAAAATCTAAAAGGAAAGGCCTCTCGACAGCCCAAAAAAAACAAACGGAAGGCTTTAATTTTTAGGCTAACAGGCTATCTTAAACCGAGCCCATCACCAAACATTAAACCAATATAGCAAAACCAAGTTAGACCAATACGGATTTGAAAAATTTGTGGTTCAATTTTAAAAACTGATTGCTGAGGTGGAATTTTTTGCCCCCCTCACAAAAGCTGAGTTGGACACCCTAAAAAGGGAGGTAAGTCAACTTTATTGTATTAGATTCTTTTTGTTTGTATTTTATATGATCTTTTTAATTATAACTTCTTTGCTCAAATAGAAGAAAAGAACACAAAAACAGAGTAAAACTAGCCCCCAAAGCAAGATGGCTCAAAAGGGCGACCAAAACGCAAACGCAATACAAAACGCACTTTTATGTTCTTTAGTTCCTCATTAACAGTCGACACCACACTGCTTCAGTAACGGACCAGTCTGTTTCGCCAAAAACGGATCGATCCGAACCCAAACAAGCGAGAAAATAGACGCCAAAAGGATCGACCAAAGCACAACGATCGTGGGAGTCCGGTTCTGTCGACCCATCAAACCCTTGAGGAACGGGTAAAGATGAACAATGACCCAAAACGCGAAAAACAGTTTCCCAAAAAGCGGTCCCCACGACCCGTACCCGTTATTAATTGCGTCCGAAACTCCTGCCACGACACCGACCATGTTGAGGATGATGAGAGTTGTCGGAGGGATGAGAAGAGTCGTCCATTTGAAGAGGTAAAGATCTCCAAACTCGTCTGCTTCGTCTGAGGCTCCTTTGGATGTGACGGTGAAGTTTGTGTCGACGCCAAAGAGGACTTTGAGGAGACCTTGAAAGACGGCGAAGAGGTGAGCGGAGACTCCTCCGATCACCCAGAACTGCTCGTTACGCCAGAGGTCAGTGATGCTCACTCCGCTCCATCGCAGCTCCAAGATCGCCGTTGCAATGATTGATAAGAATAGAGCAAGGAACCATATGCTCGCAAAGTTGTTGATCTGATCAAAAAGAAAAATGTAAACCTTAGGGAGTAAGAAACATATAAAAATATTTAAAAGAATCAAAACTAACTAACCGTTGGAATGATGAATTTGCCGGTGAGAAGGCAAACGGCAGGGATAGTACAATAAGCGAGGAGAGGAATAGAAGTGAAAGGATAGACGATGGTGTTGATGTAAGCGAGACGTTCTAGAATCTTGAGCTTGCCTCCCCATGCATACCATAGTGGACAATGACGGCTAAAGAAGATTTCGACGGAACCGAGAGCCCATCGAAGCACTTGGTGCAACCGGTCAGAAAGATTGATGGGAGCTGATCCTTTGAAAGCTGGTCTTTTAGGCATACAATAAACTGATTTCCAACCTCTACAATGCATTTTGAATCCCGTGAGAATGTCTTCTGTCACTGATCCATAAATCCATCCAATCTGTAACCAAAAAAATATCAGAAGGGTCAAAAATTAAATAATTATCTAGGCCGTTACATTTGTGAATAAAGAAACAAATTCGTATATTGATCCAATCATGTACAAATACATGAATGCATTGTATAAGGCAATATTTCGGGTTATGTATATTTCGAACCGATCTAATTAGTGTCCATAAATAGTATCCATAAATAGTATTCAATATCAAAATAAATAACTCAAATACTCAATTTCATATTTTGTTATGGAATCCAAAAATATAAGAATTCGAAGTATTATGAACCGAATTTATTAACACTGTTATAAATTTACTCGACGATCCAAAAAGATATGAAATCCGTGTAGACCCAAAAAATCCTATAAACTCAATCCAAAGTTGAGTTATTGCTTTCACTAACCCGACACATGAATCCGAACTAAACCCAACAACCTTAAAACTCAAATATCAGTCAATTATTTAATTGGTTAACCAACCTTAACAGTCAAGTATCATTCAATTACGAATTGGAGCCAAAAGTTTATAATAATTACCTCTTTGCCCCATTCAGTCTTCTCTTCATAACCACAGCTAATGACATGAATCGCTTCTTTGATCAGCGAGCTCGTGTTGGTCGCCTCCGGTAACCCTCCCTTCTCCATCAACGTCGACGCAATAAACACAGGAGACATCCCAAACCTCTTCTCGAAGTTCTTCTGCGACATCAGAGACGACTTATCCAGCTCGTCGTACCCTTCAAGCCCTTCTTCGATGTCTTCAAGATCGAAAATAGCTTCCGTCGATCGCTTTCTTGAATAGCTCATCGTCGTCGTCGTTGCACTGCTCGTCTTCTTCTTCCTCCTAAGTCCAGATAACAATCTCTTGATCCCTGACTTCTTCTTGGTATCCTCCGACTTGGGTTTGTGACGGCTACCTCCACCGCAGCAGCAGGACAGCCACGACGGCCAGCAATCGCAAGTCATCTTCTTACGTTTTTCCGACACTGGTGGTTCGTATCCGTACAGTGCTGGTCTGTTGAATACGCATCCTGTTCCGACATAGACTGGTCCTTGAATCCCATCTAACCCTCTCATGTTTATCTGCACAGATATAAAAAAAAAACACATAACAGATTTTAAAACAGAACAAATAAAAAACTAATAAACAGAAACAGAACATATTTAAAGGTTTAAAAATATATATATATATATATATATATATATATATATATATATTTTAAAGGTTTTGAATTTCGATTTTTCAGTGTTTTTTTTTTTTTTGCTGATAGTAATA